AGTGCTGTCCTCTGAAGATGCCGGCCACAGACACTGGCAAAATGTTAGGAAGAAAACCTTCAGAACATGGCCAAAGAGCCCAAAAAACCGACAACAACCAACAAAAAAAGCACTTTTATGTAGGTTAATATACACAAAGCTTATGTATTGATATATCTGTACAGATAGAGCAAAGATAAACACCTTTCTCTGTATTCAGAACACCTGAAAGCCTTTTAGTTATTTGCTAACAAATACCTGGGTGTTTGAATCTGATATTTCACATAAGAAACTCACAGTAACAAAACACCATTGTAATTTTTCAAAGCAGTGGCTCTTGATATTTCTTGTGCAGTCAACAATGCTTTGGTTTGCAACAGCTAATTTGCTGGACTTACAGTTCTAAAGTAAAACACATCGACTGCTGGGTTGAAAACAATAATAAAATTAAAAGGCCTGGGTACTTAATTTATGCCCACCTCTACAATCAGAAAAGCTAAGAAAAGGAGATGCTGAGAAGGCAGTTCACTCCTGACCACTTCCTGTTGATGACTCAGCTGGTGAACATGGACATATGACTTCCTCTTCCTGTACCTCTGTTTCTCATCAGTAACAGAGAGGTGGATCCATCATTCCTGCCCACAATCCCCATCATTCTTAAATCCTGTGACTCTAGGATAGCTGGGAAATTAATCAAGATAGTCTGCAAGTCCCTCTGTCATAGGATGCATATTATAGGTGAACATATTCTAGTTACAGAAAAAATAAAAAAATATAGTGGAATTATAGATTATCAGCAGGACTTTGTACCTTTTTATTTGCATTGGGAACTGGGGATACTCAGCTATGGAAAGCTACCAACTTGATCTTAGTGTTTTATTACTAACCAAGCAAACTTCATAGTAGTTTGCCCAGTCGCTGATGGGAGTCCTAAGTGAAAATTATAATAACTTGGTGTAGCACTGCAGATTCAGTATTAGAAGAGCAACACTGGGTCTGTCTTTTTTTTCCCTTTCCCTCCCCCCTTTTTTACAAAGATCAGCTGGTAAGATTTTCTGTAGACTTCCTCACTGAGTTAAAGGAACTGCCTTTCTGCTGGGCCCCTGCATGAAACTGCAATATAATTGCCATTACTGACAAAAACATGGTGTGTGTACATGTATGTATGGCCAAGTCCCCATGCCATTGTCTGGGTTTCTGTATTCTGCATCTCTAACAAACTTTGTTCTAAGTCTTTTATCTTCAGCTTTATTCTGATTTTTAGGCTAGACAGCGATGATACATAATTTGATCACATCACCCCAGTGCTGGCCAGCCTCCACTGGTTACCTGTTGTGTCCCAGATTAGGTTCAAGGTTCTGACATCCACATAAAAAGCCCTTCATGGTTTGGGCCCATCTGTCTTACTCACCAGATTTTCTCAGGCGAGGCTCCTTCATTTACACACCCCAAAAGAGGCCTGGACGTCATCTACTAGAGGTAGGGCCTTTTTGGCGGTGGCACCTACATTATGGAATCAACTCCCAGAGGACCTACTTCTGGCCCCCTCCCTGTACTCATTTAGGAGGCAGTTAAAAACACCATTTATAGAGGCCTTTCACATCGGCTCTGGTTGAATGCCTCGTCTCCAGTCTTGCCTCATTCTGAAAATTGGTTGTGCCACTGTTTAAGTTTTTCAACTATGTTTTTGCTATTTATGTTGTATTTAGTTCTGTGTAGTTTAACTGTCTGTAAACTGCCCAGAATAGTGCTCCGGCACAAACAGGGTAGTATGTATGTATGTATGTATGTATGTATGTATGTATGTATGTATGTATGTATGTATGTATCAATCAATCAATCAATCAATCAATCAATCAATCAATCAATCAATCAATCTCATTTGATTCAGTGGTAGGGATGGGCCTACAAAAATGCTGTACTATCAGGTATACTGTATATGTATGTATATGTGTGTGAGGGGTACATACATCCACATCCACCCACACATACCTCCAGCAGCTGATTTTAGCTTCTTGAAAGAGCATCAAAGAGTCGTCTTTCTTCTCCTTCCTTCTTTCTAGAGATATTATTGCACAGTTTTTTCTGAAATGCCAAAATTATTGAACTAACTTTGAGTACTATGTACCTTGATGGTGTGGAAAGCTTTTTTGCCTTAGGCTGCAAAATGCCTTGGGCCAGCCTTAAATGTGTTTCTGTGGAACCCATCACTGGAAAGCAGCACAAATGAAAACTACTGACCACAGAGGAATTCGGCTTGAATACAGAGTTTTTTTTTTTAAGTCCTCAGTTGTTCTTGTATAAGTCTCATCTCATTTCCAGCCTATCTAATCACCAAGGAAGAATGTCTTCTTAATATACATAGATTCTGATTTCTGTTTCTACTGCTTCTATATATGCCAGATATTAAATATTTCTGTGTAGGCTGTTTGCCTACCATGGGATGGGGGTGACATCAGATTTGTGTTGGTCCAAGGGCAGTTTTATAGCACAGTTATTTTTTTATTTTCTTGTCCCAGTGAACATTATCATTTGTCAGTGGTGTCACAGTTCAACCAATCTGTATGCTCTGAAGCCATACAAAACCAGCTAGGCCTTCCTTTTTCCTATCCTCCTTATATTTATTTATGTGTTTATTTATTCAATTTATACCCCACCCATCTAGACCAAAGTCTACTCTGGGCGGCTAACAATAATTCATAAAAGTAAAAACAATATAACAACATACTGTAGGGACAACTGTAATAAAGTGGGCATGGGGAATGCCCAGGTAGTATCAAACTGCAACTCCCAACATCTGTCACAACTGACTGACTAAAGGCAGCTGCACTTCAACATCTGGAGGGCACAAATCCCTCACTCATTATAAAGTAACACCTTTTGTTACGTCCTCCAATTATGCACCTCCGCCTGTGCAAAACAGTCTATTAGAGTATAAGCACCCTGATGAATGCCTGTTCTTAATACTGTACTTCTAGTTCTACACGGGGACACGTGTGAATTTAACGCAGCACATTTTTTTTGTAGGGATAGCCGTCGCTCATGTCAACAACAGGAGTAACGCGGCCTCCTCTGTTTGCTGGAAAGTAAATCCGCACAGCTTCCAGGGTTGGGTCACTGTGTCCAAAACTGAAACATCAATGTCTCGAGTTGCAGAAGGAAAGGTTGTAGAAGAAGAAGAAGAAGGAGCGCTTGTTGCCCGCTTCGTTTCTCTCTCTTGACTGTCCCCTGCATTCCTTTGTAAGGGACATGTCCATAGAGGCTCTGAACTCTTGCCATATTTCAGTGCTGTAGTGGAGATAAGAAAGGCAAGCGGGCAAACGGCAAGCATAGCACACAGCAGCAATGGGGCGTTTTAGAAGCGGGTGCGGAGCGGCACCGCCGGGGTCCTGAAGGAATAACGGGCTTACGGAATAGGTTCGTGGGGGGCAGGTTTGCAATTTGGGCGAGCGAAGAAGGGCGTGAAACGAGAACGCCGATGGCTGCAGGACAAACGGCCGCGAAGGAAACCTTTTTTTCACTTTCTCGCTGAAATCCACGGCGCTGAGCCTCGCTGCTATAAATGGAAGAGAGGCGGACTTTTTCCCCCTCCACCCAGGATTGCCGCTGACTTCTGACGGAAGCAGCCGGCGAGCGCCCTTTCCAGTCGCACGGCCGCCGAGGGGGACACGGCGAATTCTCCTGCTCCACCTTAAGCCGCTAAGTGAAGAGAGGCTACGGGAGGCAACAGCGCCTCCTTAAGCGGCTGCGGGTCCCGCTCGGGCGGTGGTGGAGGCGGCGGCGCGTGCGGC